ATTGTTTGCTAATTATGGCGAACCCACACATCAATCATTTGGCCACTGATATGAGTATATTAAACAAATTATACCGAAATATCCCCGCATTTGATGAGCTCTTCGATGAACACACTTTCTATATATTTGCCTTCGTATTCACCCTCTCCTCCATTATTGTAGTCATAATTATCTCACGATTTATTAAACTAAAAGAAGTCGACTATTAGTAGTCATTTGGCTTTAATTATAGTCATGTAAAGTAGTTATGTTTTCAATAAATAAAAATATCATTTAATGCAAATGTCATAATCTGGTTAAAACATGTGATATAAACTGCCCTAAGAATTGCCAGTTAATTGTTAGTTTCAATAGTTAATTATCATTACATAATGATAAGAATTAATAAAAGTGAGTTATATTTGCACATTAAATGTCGTCCAATATATAGTTGAGTGATTTGCCAATACTTTTACCGGTAAGTAAATAATTGACACAAAGGGATACATTTTTCGATGCAATTAATAACATATTACGTTAGTAAAATATTTGACAACAAATAAGGCAATAAAAAGTTTTATTTTTGTGTTGAGATCGATATACTTTTTTTGGTATAAAAATGAAAATATTTTACTACAAATGAAATACTATATAAAAGTTTGTGACCTTTTTTTATATTAATACTCTTTATGGTAAACATTAGGCACTAATTGTTTGCAAAATATGTGTAAAATTCTTGTGATTTAAGCGATGAATTGTGTGATTGAATTACAAAAGACAAGACTTAATCGATTTAAATACTGTATAATTCAATGATTGGATGGATTTGACTGAATGTCACGTTAAGAATGTGTCACTAAATGGCAGTTTAAGTCACATTTAAATTAATACATAAAAATGATTTTAAGTTAAAACATAATTTGAATCGAAAGTCTTGTCTATTAAATAGAGTGACTATAAAAAAGTTTTATATACTTTGTATAAACACATAAAATATATAAATTTATAATTATATATATATTATAAAAACATAATCAATAATATTTATAATAGTATTGAGCGTTGAGGTAAGGGTTTGTGGGCCAGTGGTCAGACCTGTGTGTGTTTGTCCCGCGGGATATATATCCTATCGTTGGACTTAAACTTCTGTTGTCGCGGATATTCAGACTTTAAACGAAAACTAAAGCAAACAAATAGATTAGAAACAAAAGTTTTAAATGTTTTCTGAATTGTTGCGAAGGGATGATTAACCTTAAGTTGCTCTCGGAATTAGCCCGAGTGGACGGTGCGCTATATTGAGTGCCCATTGTGGCGATATCTGGTATATTGATGTAGTCATCAATGGCTGCGTCCCCGTAACGATAACTATGCGTTAAAATGATTGATTATTGCAGACAGTAATTCAAATACAAATACCTTTTTGCCCGACAGTAAAGACACGAACACATGAATACGAGAACTATTAATACGATAAGTGCGGCTAAAATACTCCACGTGGCCGCCCGATAGATACGGAGCTCCTAATTATATATATATTATAAAAACATAATCAATAATATTTATAATAGTATTGAGCGTTGAGGTAAGGGTTTGTGGGCCAGTGGTCAGACCTGTGTGTGTTTGTCCCGCGGGATATATATCCTATCGTTGGACTTAAACTTCTGTTGTCGCGGATATTCAGACTTTAAACGAAAACTAAAGCAAACAAATAGATTAGAAACAAAAGTTTTAGATGTTTTATGAATTGTTGCGAAGGGATGATTAACCTTAAGTTGCTCTCGGAATTAGCCCGAGTGGACGGTGCGCTATACTGAGTGCCCATTGTGGCGATATCTGGTATATTGATGTAGTCATCAATGGCTGCGTCCCCGTAACGATAACTATGCGTTAAAATTATTGATTATTGCAAACAGTAATTCAAATACAAATACCTTTTTGCCCGACAGTAAAGACACGAACACATGAATACGAGAACTATTAATACGATAAGTGCGGCTAAAATACTCCACGTGGCCGCCCGATAGATACGGAGCTCCTACAGTAATTCAAATACAAATACCTTTTTGCCCGACAGTAAAGACACGAACACATGAATACGAGAACTATTAATACGATAAGTGCGGCTAAAATACTCCACGTGGCCGCCCGATAGATACGGAGCTCCTCTTCGTACGGCTCATAGGTCGGCGGCCACGTCGGCGGGATTCGGCCAACCATTACGGGAATGTAGTCGTTCCAGAACTGACACGCCTTTTGCTTATAGTCTCTCCACATACTACTGGTGCTCCAGGCGTTCATATTGATCGAGTTCAGGTCACTCGACTCCCACGTACTCGTCTGCCAATAGCCCGTATAATTAGTCGAATTAATGGACAAATACTGTAAGTTTTTCTCATCCATCGGTTTCCAGAGGATTGTGTTGAAGAGTGCGTAAGGCGTGGGACCGCAGAGTTGCGGATTCCCGGG